TTAATTATTATTTATAATAGTTTCTCACATAAGAAGAAGATCATTAAATACATAAAATCTTTTATTTTTATCTTTATTAAATTGTCAGTATATTTTTTCTCGTTCATCCTCTCTTCGGCCTTTACCTTCATATTTGTCTCCATTAATTAATAATTAATAGGAACGGAATTGGAAATGATGCATTAAAAATAGTACAAGTGATAAATAAAAAGGAGCGAAATTCCCTCCTACAAGTGACAATTAGGATCAGAGTGGTACTCTTTTATACAAGCTGATTGATAAAATGAATGACTAGAGTTTTATATTCAAACTTAAAATATACATCTATATTTAAGTTTGGAGGAATATGGCTGGCAAAAAAAAAGGGTCTTTATTTGGCCAAATATATATATATTATATGCGAGTATGTGTGTGAACATGAAAATTGAAAAGTCTTTGTTTTGGGAAAATATATATGCAAAATGTCTACGTTTTGGGAAAATATCTGAGCTGAGTGATTGCTATGTTTGACCAGACTGACTTCACGGGATTTGAATTATCTTTATTATATATATTGCTCCTTTTCAAAATGGAGGTGAAATTACGATTTTATTTAGTTCTTTAAGTTCACACTTGACTTAAAACTAGGACTCTTCTTCTTCTTCTGTTCTGTTTTAAAATGAATGACATGTTTTAATAACAAATATATTTAAATATATTAAATATAACAGCAAACGTTCCCTTAACGAAATGCTGTGGATGTAGACTTTTTGATTGTATTTATATTATTCTTTATTAATTTTTATTCAACTTTGTAAGAGAGTGACATGAGAATGATGTCCTTGTTCTTTATATTCACGTCATCGCCTCTTGTTTTTGAAATCAACGCACTGTTCCATGTCAAAACCAATGCGTCAAAGTCTTTATTCGTCATGTTCCTGAATTTTTTTAAATTTTTTTAAATTCTCAAACGTGATATTATAATTATAAAATTCGCATCCCCTAATTAACTATAGTAATATTCCACTTATGAGGTTGCTGACTTACACTAATCTAGTCAAGTTAATAACCCTTCTATTGGGACAACCTCTACGTAGTAGTGTAACTACCAAAAAATGTTAATTCAAATAGTCTAAATTAGCCTACATAATATTAATATTCTAACTTATTCTTCACTCTATTAGGTTTCTACTAAATTTTCGTCCCATTTTTACAATTTTGTTTGAATAACTTGGTATTTTTTTATTTGTTGGATTGTTTGATAGTTCAGATCCAGATTCTTTGTTCTGGTAATTTTCGATTAGATTCAAAGTAATATATATATTTATAATATTTCTCTCCCAGGTGGATCGTTTGCGTACTTAAGGGTAGAGCTAGGCGACTTTGTGGCATTCATAGCCGCCGGAAACATCCTTCTCGAGTATGTGATCGGCGGCGCTGCCGTGGCCCGATCATGGACCTCCTACTTTGCCACCCTATGCAACAGAGGCTCCGACGACTTTCGGATTGTTGTTCACAGCATGGGCTCGGACTATGGCCACCTCGATCCCATCGCCGTCGTTGTTCTAGCCGTCATCTGCATCCTCGCCGTCTTCAGCACCAAAGCCTCCTCTCGCTTCAACTATATCGCCTCCGTCTTCCACATGGCCGTTATCATCTTTATCATCATCGCCGGACTCGTGAAAGCTGACACTAAGAACTACCACCCCTTCGTCCCCTACGGCCCACGTGGTATCTTCGTGGCCTCCGCCGTCCTCTTCTTCGCCTACGTTGGCTTCGACGCTGTCTCCACCATGGCGGAAGAGACCAAGAACCCCGCCAGAGATATCCCCATCGGACTCGTCGGCTCCATGGTGATAACCACCGGAGCTTACTGTTTGCTAGCCATTACCCTCTGTCTCATGCAACCGTTCAAAGAAATTGATGCTGATGCACCGTTCTCCGTTGCCTTCAGCGCGGTGGGGATGGATTGGGCGAAGTACATAGTCGCCGCCGGGGCGTTGAAGGGCATGACGACGGTGCTGCTGGTGGGCACCGTGGGCCAAGCTCGGTACTTGACGCATATAGCTCGAACCCACATGATGCCGCCATGGTTCGCTCACGTAGACGCTAAGCTGGGAACGCCGGTGAATGCGACGATCTCTATGATAGTAGCGACTGCGGTGATTGCTTTCTTCACGAAGCTGGAGATTCTGTCGAATCTATTGTCAATTTCTACACTGTTCATCTTCATGCTCGTCGCTATAGGCCTTCTTGTTCGACGATATTACTCAACTGGAGTGACGACGAAAGCAAACCAGGTAATGTGCCATTACTTTTACGAAAATTCTTTAGATGTGAATTAAGAGATATATATATATATATATATATATATGGATCTTTATAATATTTTGATTTAATTTTACCTTCAATGTTTATAACAGCAGTATAACAACTAGCATGTGTGTTTTCCTCACCTTTCGTGTACAGTCCACTGAGTACGGACTTTATTTTCCTTCATATTGCTATGGGATCTTCAAGAAGAAGATCATGTTCTGGCCAAAAAGAAGAAGAAGAAGATCATGTAGATCTTATTTAGATTGCCAAAACTATATAATTATTTTTAATTTTGGTAATTAAAATAATTTTTTTAAAAAAATTATCAATGAATAAAATATACCTTTAAATATTAAAAATATAATAAAATCTATTTAAATCTTTTTCAGATACAAAGTTTTACCTTACACATTGCTCTTATTGTTAAAGGAATATAAAATGTGCTTATAAATTAAGTGATGCCAAACGAGCACTTTAATAGTGTGAGTTTTTAAAAAATTCTAAAAACTCTTTAACGTGTTTACAACTAGGTTTCTTTTGGAGTATAAAATCTCAATATGTAATAGTGAAGTTAAATATGTTAAAAAGTGAGTTGAGGTATATATACATTATAGTATTTTCTTGTTTGGGAATATATGATTTGTATAAAGGTTCTAAGTTCATGAATCTGAGTTGTATCTATTGTTGCATATACATATTAACTCTGACATGTACAAACCCGGATGCTTTTTGCAGATAAAGCTCATAGTGTGCCTAGTGCTAATTCTGGGATCCTCCGGCGCCATTTCCGGCTACTGGGCGAGTAGCGACGGCTGGATCGGGTACGCGGTGGCGGTGCCGATCTGGCTGGTGGGCACGATGGGGCTGTGCATGTTTGTTCCACAGGCGAAGCAGCCGAAGCACTGGGGGGTGCCTCTGGTGCCATGGCTTCCATCTTTATCAATTGCCATCAACGTCTTCCTGCTAGGCTCCATTGACAAAAAATCGTTCATAAGGTTTGGGATATGGACGGCATTTCTTTTGGTTTACTACGTCCTGTTTGGCTTGCATGCTTCTTATGACACTGCCAAAGAGCTTGAGAAGAATAAGATTGCTTCTTCTGATATGGTCATGGAAGAAGGAGCACAACCAGGGCCAAAGATGTAGATATATATATATATATATATATATATGGATATAATAGGTTATGGATTTATCTGAACAATGTCTTATAATAGGTCAGGAATTCTCTTCGATGTTATTTGGTTCGCCGGAAAAAAAAAAAAAATCCCTTCTCTCATTCTCTCTCCAGGGAGAGATTAGTGTTTTTGCTTTTTAAGCTTTTCCAAATGATTGATGATTAGATAGTAGTCTGTCTATTTTGCTTCTTGTGATGTTGTTGTTTTAAATGAATTTGTTGTGCAGTTTTTGGGGCTGTTGGTCTAGATTTTGTGTGAAAATTCTTAGGCCAAACGTTTCTTGTTGTAAACTACTTCTCGTTTTTTTTTATTGGCCAATGTTTCCTCTTGTAAATGATTCGTACAACTATTATTAGTGCTTGTTAATTTAATCTGAAAATTTTCATTTTTAGATCTCTATTTACGCTCTACTCTATTGCTACCACTTGAGCTATTATTACATCTGGTCCTAATTATAAGAGCTAGTTGACTAATTTGAGAAGATTAAGAAAATAAGTCAAGTTAGTTATTTGTAATAGATAGGTGTTGTCTTTCTTAAAATATCCTTAATAATCAAATGTATTGACTAGAATTATTCTTATTAAAAAGACTACCTTAAAAAAAATGCATAAATATGATAGACAAAATGGATTGAGATATTATATTTAGAACCAAAATAAAAGTCAAATAAAGTCTTATATTAAGGACTGGGGTGGTATTATACTACCTCCGGTCCTAATTATAAGAGCCAGTTGATTAATTTGAGGAGATTAAGGAAGTAAATTGAATTAGTTATTTGTCCTACATAGGTGTTGTCTTTCCTAAAATATCCTTACTAATCAAGTATATTGACTAGAACTATCATTGTTAGAAGGACTACTTTGGAAACAAAATATATAAATATGAGAGATAAAGTGGATTGAGGTTTTATATTTAGGATCAAAATAAAAGTCAAATAGAGTCTTATATTAAGGACCGGAAGTAGTATATTATTATTATTAATGTATTTGAATTTATATTCTTTAGCTTGACGCATTGACCGTCATTCATATATTTAAAGAAGAAAAAGTGTAAGACATACAAAATAACCACACAAAATGATACATTTAAAGTTCATCGTTCTTTTTTGTCAATTAACATCTGGCCATAGAACATACTTTCTTGTTTTGGATGTGTAGCTAGTTGAATATGCAATTTGGTTGTAAATATAATACTACATAATAATGACAAATAATCTCCATAACTCAAAGAGAATACACTATTGGTTACTAAATGTGAGTATATCTTTTAATGAGAATTCAAATCTTATTTTGTTACATTTAAAAACTAGTTCTTTTTGTTAGATCCAACTAGCAATCACTCCCCCGTGCGATGCACGGGGAATTCACTGCGCTTTTCTTTTCAGCCACCTGTTCACTTAACAGATTCAGCAAACATGTATACCAATTGCCAATAGCATCAAAAAAGCACTACATAATAGTCACAAAAATTGCCGGTAATAAGCTATGCTTCTTGTCTAATTAACAATTTACATAAACATAGCCAACTTCACATACTAAGATTTCGGAAAACTTCTCGATAGACAACATTTGTAGTTGTGTTCTTCCTATTAGAATCATTGCCATGGAGAAGAATCCTAAGGCCCTTAATAGATTTAACCCTAGAAAGAGCAACATACAGCTGACCATGTGTGAATACCAGCTTTGGCAAGTATAAACCCATACAACGCAATGATTGTCCTTGACTTTTGTTGATTGTCATGGCAAATGAAACTGTAATAGGGAACTGCCTCCTCTTCATCTTAAATGGCAACCGACAATCTGAAGGATTCATATCCATGCGATGAATTACCACTTTCTGATTAGGCTTTGAACCATTCAACGTCACAGCTTCAATGACAACATTGCCAAGATGAGTGATTCGTAACCTCGTTCCATTACATAATCCAGAAGCTTGGTCAATGTGTCTCAAAAGCATAATAGGAGTACCAACCTTCAACGTTAATCTATGCATTGGTAAGCCGGAACAATTTATACTATTCAAAAAGTCAGGAGTATGTAAATCCTCAAACCCATCACGATCCTGGAAGGACTTGCAAACAGAATCACAGCTAAAGTAGTCAACTGGATCACCAGGCAATAGTGAAGACATATAATCATTCATTTGATTAACAATATCAATTGTGGGCGCCAGTATAGCCCTGTCATTGAAATAATTAGTGCTGCCCAAATTATCCAACAAACCAGGATAAGTCCATGACACAATTGTAGCAATCGGATCACTGTACCTATCAATCAACAACTCATCAGGGATCTTAATTTCTGCTATCCCATCATGAGACATACCCAACTTACCATCTCCAACATCTAATAACCACTGTGAAAATTTTTGCAAACTACTTCGATCTTCATCAGATGATAATGAGGAGAACAAACGCATATTTTCAGTTAATTGGAATATAGTGCAATGATCCCATAAATATGAAGAGCAAATGCATGCATTCACAATATCTGCCCTCGTACCTCTAGGAATGACAGGGAGAATCTGGCGAAAGTCACCACCCATAATAACACACTTCCCACCAAAAGGATGATTACAATGCATAATATCTCTCAATGTACGATCAAATGCTTCAATGCAAAATCGTTGAACCATAGGAGCTTCATCCCATATAATCAACCTGGTGGATTTAATTAAATTACCTAATGCCGAATTTTGCTTTATATTGCACACAGATTCTTCATTCACCAAAATAGGGATCGCAAACCTTGAATGAGCAGTCCTGCCAGAAGGTAACAATGTTGCAGCTATCCCACTGGACGCCACTGTAAGAACAATATCACCCTGAGCACGAAGTGTTGAGGTCAACGCATTCCATAAAAACGTCTTTCCAGTTCCTCCATACCCATACACAAAGAAGAAAGTCGTAGATACAGAAGACAATGAAGACATCACTACGTCAAATACATTCCTCTGCTCTGCATTTAGGGCATTTAATAATTTTCTTGACTCCTCTTCACAAAACCCACGATCATAATTTAATTCCTGCAATATCAAATGGTTACGAACATCAAGTGGAGGATAAGAGCTTGGATATGGAAGAGAAGGAAAATCTTGCAAACTCTTCCCATTTTCTTGCAATAGTGCTTCAATCTCTGTTAATGCTGCTTGTTCTTTCTGCTCATCTGATATGGAAACACCTGCAAAAATAATAACTATGAAGCATTCATAAATAATAACAAACATAAAGCACATCTATTACACTAATTGTAAGAACAATGCTCACCTAATGATAGCGGATTTTGGCGTGGAATGTACAATAAATCTTCTGACAACATTTTTGAAGTCTCCTTCCAAACAAAAGCAGGTCGGCTCAATGATTGACATAATAGCATGCTTACAAACATCTTCCTTAAAGAAGCACCTGAAGCCCAAAACGACGCCTCTTTAATTCCATTAATGTATTCATTGTCATCATCTAGCAACCCAAGAGCATAACATGCATCTCTAAAAGTAGGTTGAATAACTCCATTCACTGTCCTAATCTCTTCAAATGAAGTTGGTCCTCTAACTTTTGTGAGCAACATGTGAAGGTAATAGAGTTCCCCAGATGAAGGTGGTGTATATGTAATCCTACCAATTGCAAATCCTTTCTCCCTTCATTTCCATTCCCTCTTAGTCCTTTGGTACACATAATGTTGGGGAAACTCTGAGTATGTCAATGTTTTTGCAAAATCTTCCCTTGAGTTTGTTTTCATCCATGCAAGAAACATTGATTCACATACTCTTGGCTTATCTAAAACCTCCGCCACATCATCGGCATTTGAATACATCACATATTGCTGATTAGGTAAATGGAAGCTAAGCCTCTCAACCGCAGGATATCGATGATGAATATCAAAGGCAAAAATCCGCCAAGCAGCTTCACATGCTGAGATATATCTAAAGTTATAATACTGCTGGACCTCATCAACCACTCGCACACCATTACTTTCCTGGTTACCATCATATATCGATGCAATCACCCTATCATTACCCTTGCTAATATACTTAAATAAATACTTTATAGCAGTACTTTGGTTACACTTCTCGACATTGATATGAGCCTGAAACTTCAGCAACAAAGTAGGATTATAAGGAACAATGTATCGGTTATCCAATGGAACCCCTTTTACCTCTATGGTCCTACCATCATCTCTTCTTCTATATGTAGGATACCCTTCATCATCAATCACAGTATTTTCAACAAACTTCTTAGGGAAATACTTACTACATTTATGATCCTTCATACATGGAGCTTTGCTATTAAAGCAACCATATGGCCCATGCACCATAAATTTCTTTACTATTTCATGTAACTCCAGATTTGATTGCTTATCAGGAATTTCTGCAGAAATAACCTTGTCAACATCACTTGGATTAGTCAACTGATCATGCGGGCTAAGAAACAATAGAATGTGTGCATGTGGCAACCCCCTTTTTTGGAACTCTATAGTATAGACATCTGTGAAGTGAAGAAAAAATACAGTAAGACAATATAGTCAACAAACATAACAACACAAATTATATTTCTATCACATTTACCTGCAAGAACTGTCCCAAAAATCTTTTTCTTCTTAATAGTAGCCATCAAAGCTTTCAATTTCATCTGGAACACTCTTACCAATATATCTGGCCTATTTGAGGACAACAGTGCTTGCCCATCACAATATCGTGATATCTCTGGCCAAGCTGGGTTACACGTGAAGGTTACAAATATGCTTGGATATCCAAAATATCTGCAAAGAGCCATTGCATCTTGGTAATTCCCTAGCATATAACGTGCCCCCCCAGTAAATGAAGATGGCAATACAATACGCTTCCCTGTTGATGCTGCATTTCTTTCACCACTCAACAAAGCATCTGTTAAGCCTTGGTATAAATCTACTCTAAGCTCCTTTTGGTGGGTTCTCACCCATAACAGCCTTTGTGCTTCAATCATAGTATACCCATCAACTATAAATTGTTGGAATAACTTCCCTGCATGTAATACAGTTGAGATCTCATTTTCACGTGCCATTAAGCGATATGCAAAATATTCCCTCATGCTAAGCATTTTCTTCTTTTTTGTGTAAGAAATAGTCTCTTCACGATGTTGAATATCATCCCTATAACCATCTTCCCCCTTAGGAAATAAAATTGGATACTGCAATGGAAGATATGATGCATGCAACTCATCAATTCGCTGCAACGACCCTGAAAGCTCATGTACTATAACATCTCTCCTACTAAAATTCATATCAATATCCCCCATAATAAGTGCAGCTACCTCATTAGCAGATGGCAAATTATATGTACGGCCATCATGTTGTCTCCCACTAATTAATCGAAGCTTCACATCCAAATGGGGTCCATTATTAATCATTGATGATGCCAAGCGATATTGTTTGACAAATGGATTTACTTCATCAAGTACCTTCTTGATTTGATCAACAATCTTGTCATCGATGGAGCAATCCTTCAAATGTTTACTGCATAAAAATTAAAAAAAAAAAGTGCATTATGCTTCTAGCATTATACTTTTTTTATACCATCCAAGCCACAAAAAAAACATACCTTACTGCAAAAATACGGTTAGAGACTTCATTCTCAGTATCATGAATATAGAGCTGTGAATAAACAGGCTTCGAACCTTCAGATGGCAACAAACTCCCAATTTTATGGTAATTCATTCCACCCAAAACAAAAGTATATCATATGGACTGCCTCCAGAATTTTTAGAATGATCAACCCTTCCACCCATCGAAGTAAAAGAGAACATGTTATTATATGACCGAATATTTGAATGAAAATTCTTTGACTCTTGTGTCTTCTTGTCAAAAAAAAGACGACTCAACACTTCAGGAGGTGCAGTCATCAAGGGTAGCTGAACTTTCCCACGCAAGCAACACAATGAAAATTTTGGACTTCTTTCAGATTTACAATTCCCAACTTTCTCATTAAACCACATGAATGCCCCACAATACTGACATTTATATACAGCATCTCCTTCATCCACGTAACCTGTTAAAACAAAAAGAACATTAGGATGTAACGTCCCCATACATGGTATCACTGAAAAACATTTCATTTTCACCACAATTGGCCTGCTTACCGAATGAGCAAGATGGTCCAATCTTCCTTGGTTCGGCAATATTGCTTCTATGATTACATGCCAAATTATGCCCATTTCGCCCATTTTCTATATCACAAAGATAAATCACTATCGGTTTACGGACTAACATAAAAACTAATAAATCATGCCTTCATTCATTTTATTACCTGCACTATAATCTGAATCACTACCACTCCTGCCAGAATCAGATGTTATGTTTCTATCAAAGCAGAATTCCAAATCCTTATATTGCAATTCTATCGGAACTAATCACATCAAAATGACAATAATCTCACATCAAAACATCGCCATACATATATAGTGAACAACAAACAAATGCATGCAATTGAATTGGTGCACGCTACTTATTCAAGTCACTATCTGATTATTCCCACACGTGTAACGAAGGTAAAATATCACCTAACATAAGATGAAATTATAGGAATTCATTAGTATTAAGTTCCTGCATCCTAATCATTAGCATGGTTATGTCAATCCTTGCAGGCGTGTAATTAAGTAACGTTTAGTTCACCTAAAAAAAGTCCCAGCCTTATGTAAAATATGATTTCCATCACATTGAACTTTGAACATTGAATGCAATACACACACTCCAACAAACACCCACCAAAAATATCCAAGTCTCAACATAAGCCCAATGCCCACACCTCATGCTGTAACCGGAAAAAAACATGCATTCCCCACGTTTAGCGTCTTCTACTTTTTATTAGTCAATAAGGCCCAACTTAAACACCTAAATTCATTATCAGTGCATTCAGTCCACTCTGATTCACCCGCCCACATGACCCAATATCTAAAAGTAGTTATTTCCATCATATACTGATGCTAAAATGACAGTCAGTACTGCTGTCCCAAAAAGAAAAACGGCACTCAGCATTACCAGGAATTGCCAACAGCATGTCTTAATCTCTCCACAGAACTAATTTTCCTATGTCGCAAAACATGCTACCCTTGCACATTATCTATCACATACGGGTCATAAAACCTTATCTATCACCAACCTGGCATATATGATACAGCAGGTCCCTGAAAATCAACTCTTGAGCCTCTTGCACAGCCTGAACCAAATAACATGTCTCGAAACAAATAAGAATAGCAAATTAGTTCGTCTAAATTGCTCTCTCCCATTCAACCTCACATGAACAATTAACCTTCTAATCCCTTCCAGATGACACCTCAGTTCTGAAACTTACACCACTCAACATTTGTTCTCGTCACAACACTAATAGAAAGAAAGAATTACTGCCTCCCGTCTGCTTACATCAACACAAACCTGAAAAAGAAGCTGATTGCGTAGCCTGACTCGCTGAACTCCCTGCATCCGCTAAATATTGTCGCTGAGAATAATTCTCCATCATGTCAGCAGATGCAAAAAAAGAATTCCTCTGGCTTCTTCTGCTGCTACTTTTTCCTACACAATTGAGTGCACATTCCACCATTAGCATTGATAAAATAGTCATCAGCTTATTTCATTCCCCATGACTGTTTAAGTCATGCAGAGTGACTGTCAGTGCTAACTTTTTTACACATAACTAATACATCCAGCGGCTACAACTTTCTTCCATCCCAATTGAAACTTGACTAACATTCAAAACTACAAATCAAAACCAAAAAACCTCCTACATGTTCATGAATCGAAATCTGATATACATGTTCCCATACCTTCAACTTTTTTTTTACCATTCATATTGACCCCGCTATCGGCCCCTTGATAGTTGAGATTTTCTGCTCCACTTTGACTATTTGTTCCTACTCCTGGCCACCGCCTCTCAACACACTGAAACTTTAAATCCAAGATATATGCCATGTTACTGATGTCTTGCAAAGCCAATGCTCTTCCCCAACGCTTAGCTAATACTCGTTGGCTGCAAGTCAGAGTTGAGCTTGGCTGCGTGTTGCTGGTAGGACACTCATTCTCTTTATCTAGATTATCATTTGCTTCTCCAGACCGACTCCTTTCCCCATCAGCATTGTACCCACCACCTTCATCAGACATCCAGAACACTATCAAAACAACGAACAAAGTAATGTTCAATTCCACTACGAAAAATGAACAGGGAAAAAATGATAACTTCACCAGTGCTGAGAGGCTCGAATCCCTGATGACAGGAGCCAGGACTGATTTGCACCATTCTTGGCTGATTGCTACCCACATCACTTTGGCTACCTTCAAGTCCCAAATAACAACATTAACAATCACTGACACTTATATCTTACCATATATATTCACTATATGTCTGTCACTCTCACTTACATATTCGAGAATTCTGAGATCCATGGCAAGCCTGCATCGCCATAGTCAAGGAGTGGATACGACAATCACAAGCTGTTGCCTCACCTGATTCATTATTCTCTGCAATTGTTATATCACTTTTCCTCTTCATTATCACCTAGATGTCCTCAACCATGCTATAATGTCCTGTTATGACTAAATAATACCTGTACACAGCAAAACAAACCTCCTAATGATACAATCACTTCTCAGTCACCAATCAGACACACTCGTGACAAATGAATGCTCATTGCTGAATGAAATTGAATTTGTTAACACTACCTAGCCACTCGACTTGTTTTAAAGTACACAGGGCAGCTATGGCCCCCTACTGTATTCCTGAAAAGAACATCTTTATGTGTCACATCACCACGATACTCACTTATACCTACCCCCTCCCTACTGACTTCCAATCTGACCTATTCCTCCTATACCTTTTTCTGAATCACATTTTATGCCTCACGGACTACTGACTCAACTCACTTCTTATTTATTAAACCGACCATATGACTCCAAAGTGAATGTCCACTCACATTCCACACTGATTATCACTTTTATCTTGTGTTTACCATGTGGTTCCTTCCCCCACCAAATATACAGATCCGATTATACTTCACTTACTAACCAATACGACAGTACTCACCTAATCATTATCTTGCTCTGTGAACTCCATAATATATGATCTATGATTAAACACACTTTAATTTCCAAACTAAAGCAGACACCAGTTGATGAATCTTTTACGGCCCCTGTCCCTTTCCTCCAAGTTCCTTTTGTATGCAACCACATGAGACATCCATTCCTCTCAGGCGTTCATCAACCCAAGTAATCAATAAAACCATAGTTATTCACCGTTGAATGTGTATGTATTCCAATTTATTTAGAAACTCAGTATTCTCTATCACACCCCATCAATTGATACATATATTCAGTTACTGGTATGCTTGCGCCATAATTTTTGCCATCGTTACTAATACTAAATTCCATCCATAAAACCAACGTTTGTTACCAATACCACAAAATATTAGACATTATTGATCCTGGTCTTCTATAGTCTTACACATATACATGCACATGGCTTGCTCAATGTCGCACATGCTGCTCTGGCCTAACGCCACTTGAGCTAAGATCACACTGACTTGACTGCTGTCGCTAAGGCAAAACAGATTAAACACAACATAACACAACTAAGTTCTCACACATTGCCCTCATGGCCAAAATAGATGAAACCTAACATAACACAACTAAGTTCTAACACATTGCCCTCAAGGCCAAAATAGATGAAACCTAACGATTACAGACCAAGGATCATCCTACGTTTCATAAACACAGCACCACAGTAGAGCAACAATGTGGCTTCAAGGCTTCTCCTGTTTAATGATCTTAACAGGCCTCCATTCAACGTTCTCCTGAGAGTCCTTCAGCCCATCCAGTGATTTCATCTTCAACCCAGCACTCTTTCTTGCTGTAACCTTCTCTTCCCTTTATAAGTTGCGATAGGGTAGGCCTGTGATATGGGCATGACATCAAGCACTTCAGTATCGTCCCCCTTCTGCTCATCATTGACTGGTTGTGAATCAGCAACACCACTATCCTCAGGGGTCTCTTCTTCCACATGAACATAATTGGATTCCTTGACACACAAAGTGATCAAGTCATTTCATATATAATTCTGACCCAAAAATTTTAATCAACAGATAGTAATATCACCTATTTCATTTACCTCTTCAGGAACTTCCTCAGTTGTCTCCCCAGCCTATGTAGAAAACGAAGACCATTCAGTTTCACAAAAAAATAAAACATCTTCCTTGAAATACCAACAAAGAATTACATTCTTACCCTATTAAAGTCCTCCATCAAATTAACAATCTCAGTATATGCAGAGACTGAGATGCTAGAGTGTGGGAAGTCTATGTTGTACTTGTTAAGCTTAATCTTCAATAGCAGCCTCTTCCCTACCAAACAGTCCAATTCATCCGGAAAATCATACCCTCGATCTTCCTACAAACACAAATCTCCGAATATTAGCATCACAAATCCAATCATACTGGACCAAACTCAATGATTAATAACTACTTTCTCTAGCTGCAGCTTCATCTCATTAGCAGTTTTTCCCAGAAATTGAAAGGCCAGCTTGTCAAAGAAGACCACCGTGGCCTTCCCTGAGTCATCAGCAACTGTATAGTGAACCTTCAGCCTGCAACATTCGAATATTAGACACTCAAAAGCTCCAATCACAATACCTCTTAAATAACAACAAAACCAAAATTAAACATGCATTACTTGGGTTCAAAAGTCTGGGGCTTCCTCCTACATGGTGTGTTCAAGCAAACCAACCTCCCGGATTCAGTCTTGGACTTACTGCCACACCTAGCACACCCAAGATAATTCCAGCCATGCCTGGTGTCAACCTTCAGCACCGTGCACTTAATTAAGAAAAAGTCCTCCTGCATGACATCCATAGTTACCTCATCATCAACTTCAAAATGGGTATCTAACTCTCTGAATTATTCACTTACCACACCCCGATTTTCTATCTCAGAAATTGAAATCAAAGGATGATTAGCAAGCAAGCTTCTCTCAGAAGCATTCACGGCCTGAGATGGAGCGCCTGCAGAGATCGTGCTGATTGTTGGTGAAGGCAATGTCTTTGCATTGTCACAACCACATATTTCTTGCATTAGCTTCCTCTGCTTGCAACAGAAAAAACATAGCACTGATAAATGACAACCAATACCTCTGAATGAACTGCTTCACCTCTGGAAAATTCATATTAAAGGAGACCTTAGTCGCATGAAAAGAGCTGCAGACTTCAGGCTTCCCTGCATTTTTTTTGTTGAAGTCTAATTATTAACTAAAAACTAACCTCACTAAACACATAACAACTAAACCAAACTACTATTCTAAGACTCACCGTCCTCATCAAATCCAATTCTCCCTAGCTGAATGAGGATTACTATGGGAGCTTCCAGCCTTGTAAAGTCAGTCATACAGACCTCAGTTGCACATTCATCAAACAATACACATGAAACTGAATTTTCCCTGCATTTCACAAAACACGTCAAGTTTCTTCTCACACCTTCCACCAAATAACAACCGCATATGCATCAAATATTTACATAACCAGACTTCAAACTTTTAGTTTAAAAACAATATCCATCGAGTAATAACCATACAAGTTGTCAGATAAAGTCAGCCGCACTCTATTCTTGACTTCATGGTTCACGCGATATTCTTCCAAGGCACCGATAGAGGTGACAAAGCCAATGACATCTGCACATGATTACCAAATGCATTCAGTACCTGACCCTCTGTCTACATTCGAGGCAACCAAAATAATCATAAATAAAGTTATGCTTAATATAGTTACCAATCAAATAGTCAATGTTGTTTTTTGGTTCCACCTCCAAGATTTCAGCTATAGGGAAAAAGTTATATGAATATTCAGGAATTGGTGCATTTTTTTCCTGGATATATGTCAGCGCACCAAGGGTAATCTTATAGGGATGGTTGGTAGCCCTATACTCCTTTGAGTTGGCTGACACAGAGAAATTAGCAATGAAGTAGATCCTTCCCTCCAAAGGCCTCTCTTCATAAAGATCAAACACACTCTTGTTCATGACCGATGCTTGGATTCTTGTCCCCTGCATATCATGCAAATCCACATAAACCCTTTACTGATTAGAAAGGAAGGAAATTAAGAATCCAATTGAATAAATCAAACATGACATCTACTCATCTACATGATTATATCTACCCCGCATTTATTTTTCAGCTGACAAAACTAAACACCTCTACTACCCCATCGATTACTTATATACTACATAACTATATTTCAAACCATATCTAACACGACAATACCTCCTCATCAACCAGCAACATTGAAATACAGAAGACCTCATCAGGAGCATCCTTGTTAAACACATTCCATCTTCTAATGACACGAGCCACAATCCTCCATCTATCAGTAGAATCATCAACCTCTCTCAGCTTTGAAATCTTCAAGGTCGACATAGTGAAAGAGCGGTGTTTTTTTTCTTAACCAACACAGGCCTCTGCCTCTCACTGGTCTCTCTTCAAGCAGCAGTGCCGGTGAGGAAGCCTGCCTATGGAGCTCCATTTATAGAACCACCTACGTGAACAACCATACTGACATAACAACACATGACAGAAAAATATATCTGACACTAACACTATCATAACTTGCAAAAGTCAGACATCGTGCACAACTTTCAGCTCATCAAAACAAAAGAACGCAGCTTAACTGACGGCACATCATATCCCCGCATAGCCTTCATATCATTAATATCATCTTTTCAAGACCATTCATCATGTCCATCAGCAAAGGATTTCCACACATAAAGTGACTATTATTTTTTTTAGTTTAAATTTGAATGTATAAGCATAAAATCTCTTTACACCCTTCTACCCGCCAATTCTGCCCTCACGACCTCATTTCAAATTATGTTAAAATAGATAGCTGTGTATTGACATTAACCCCTTTATAACACCGAAAGCGTTTTCCTGTAACATTTACACGACCCATCTCTATTTCTTATAAACCCGTGTCTGACTCTAATGCATAGATGACAGCACTGCTTCCTAACACATTTGCGGCAATGCAAGAAGTAATAACAATCCTTTGCAGTTACCCTATCTAAATCACTTTTGCATTGCTTAATACACAATCAGGCCAAAACATAGCGGCATCAATTAATATCATAAATTATCATTTATCAATGCCCCTTTTTATTGAGCATGGATTAGTATTACCACTTCTTTCATTTGATCCCACCACTATTATCCACCATGCACCAAGTAATAACTGTCTTGCTTCATATACCACGCAATTTATCAGCAGACTTCTATCAGGACTTCTACACCCCCATGCTTCCTTGGCACCATCTTGCTCTCACTTACTCTTCCTCTTGAGACACGTCATATCTTCACCACCAACACTTTTTGCTCTGCAACCCATTGTGGTGCCAACTAATCCGCTCACAAACCAATGACCTGTCACTCTGCTGCTCAACTTACCAATCTTTAAACTCACACCCCTCCTAACTTAAACAATCATACCCCTATGTTCCTTCCCAGCACCCTGCCTGTATGAAAAGACCAAACCTTCATGCCTTGTGAAACAACAAAAAATATCCCCTCTGATTTTATCACAGGCACCTCCATATTTTGTAGGCCTATAGCAACATAATCACACCGGCCACCATCAGTCCCCGCCTTCTTGAAATGCAAAAACACGTACATGTAAGAAATATATACTCCCCACTGTAAAATCATTCTTAACTTATCACAGATCCTGGCTTGTATTTATTTAATCCCACAACGCTAACACAAATCAAATACTACATTGACAGTCCACTGCTTATTTGTTTATTTGATCCTGGCTTGCTGCCATTCATACACACTCAAACCATTCATAACTATTACCTGCTTTACAACCATATAATGTTTTTATCCAAATCATTATCCCGACCAAAGTAGCCTAAACACACTTTATCCCAAAAGATGACTGCAAATTCACTTTTACTTCCCAGACCTGTCATCCATCACACTCGCCATACAGCCATCAAAACCTGCTGCTTTTACACTTAACTGACCGGCAAAAGGACAGAAGCAGCACCACGAACACAAAATCTAACCACCGCCAGCCCCCTGACACATTCATTGATAAACCCACACGGGATCAACCAAAGTCAACCAAATCACTTTAATCAGCTCACATGAAAAACATTGACTTTCTCTAACACGTTATCAAAAGCAACCCAGCCTTAAAAAGTGAAAGTAACAGCCAGAACTTGCAAAAAAGCTGTCTTATATCAAATCCTCACTCCCAACACGCATGCTGCATGTATCTCCGAGACATCTAAACACCATCACCATTTTGAACAACCATCCAGAAGACACTGACTGTGTAGATCAATTCGTAACTTGCTCAATCTTTCTTCACCCATTTTACAATCTCTTGACTGACTTAATTTTACAATCCCCATGCTTCCTCTCAACTTCTTTAGTTACCGAAACTAAAGGTTGCACTCTCGTCGTCATTTTTTGTCTTCATTCCTCTATCCTTGATAGCACAGGCTTACCATTATTACAAGCAGGACAATCGTACTACCGATTATCCTCCTAAATTGTCTGACACAAGTGATAGTAATTTTTTTATCATTCATCAACCTCCTGATGATAGAGGCCATGTGTAATCTTCGGTTGTTCTAAGTAATGTTATCCAATGTTTAATTCAAAAACAAAATAATGAGAACCCAAAGTGAATTCAAAGCCGACAATATCATGGAGATACCTTTTTTTATTCACATGTTTTAAAGCATTAATATCATGGAGACATCTTTTTTCCATTCATTTCAACTTGCCTTAAACGACTACTCTACCCTGCAATATTTGACCAATTAAGTCGTTCATTTGCAACTCATATTCACAAAAATCTAATTTTATCGCATATCTGGACCTTTTCCTGATTTAATAAATACCCTTAATAGATAGAAAATAACAACTCATAACCAAAAAATGTTCTCGTATCTGACAAGGCTCTTTAACAATATACCTATGTGGATTCATTATCACACGGCATGACCTTGGATCAACCAAGAACAAAACGCTCCAACAACACAAGATTTTGCTTATCACTGGGCATACACTTTCCACCCTCAACACACCATACATTAGTCAAAATATCCAAAACAAACATCATAAGTGCCTACAACACTATAGTTAAGTATCCCCACAAAAACATGAATGGCCCACACCCATATACACAGTCACCCCTCATTAAGCCCCTTGACTAACTACAGTACTACAGCTGCGCCTAAATTCATCTCCTCCCCGCAGGCTTCAGTAATTTCCTCCTCAGAGGTATGGTCTCGTGAAAAACAGGATTCCAGAACACCCTGGTTGCATTCGTGTAGTTGGTTAATGAGGCTACCCCTGAAGACACAAAAATTAGCTAGATCAGAAATGCTCCAGTACTCCTCGAACTCAATTAAATGGTTGCAACAAAATACACAATATCCTTACCTTCCACTCTCTTCACAAACGCGTATTGCACAATATCTACACATATTTCATGCAATCACTCCACATTCAGCATATTTTCAACATATATTTCCTGATACAACAAAACTAAACACAAACCCCCTAACACCTATTAAATCATTGCACTAACCTCTAACCCGGTATTCAGGATAGATTTCCATCTGAATGCTGTCAATGGAGTTTATCTTCAGAGACCGACTTGGCAACATATGTAAGCGTCGTTGAACAACTATGTTTGGCCCCAGCACCATGTGATAGCTGCTATGAATCCCTTCCCCATCATACCGCACCTCGAAATTCCTAATGTAGTAGATCTTCTCCTCCTTCAGCACGTTCCCGTAATGCTCAATCATGTCGTCCCCATCAAGTCTAAGCAACATCCTCGTGCCCTCAAAACACCAACCATAAAACAATTAGTAAAATCTAATGCAATGCGACAAAAGGAAACTTCATAAACAGAACAAACCAACTACGACCAGTAGTGACACACTAACATTCACCGATTAGATATAAAAAGCCAACCACAAACCACAAAAAAAATCATATATATTTAAATCCTCACCTCCTCATCAAACACAATCATGTCCAGTAAAATCAACACCTTCAGATAGCCACATTTGCGGTCGCATACGTCAAAATCGGTCCTCCAGAATACTCTGTCTACCCTCACGATCACTCTCCAGGAATCCACCGAAGGAGCAACAATATCAAGCCTCTCGTACTCCCCCACCATCTCTAGCAGGTTACTGACTCAACGGCAAACTATATGACTAAGAAACAGGGCTTACAAAACAGGGACTCTGGCAAAAAGCCCTTGGAAACTGAGGACTATGGAAGGGAAAGAGGAACCGACTTGCACTCTTGAAAGAAGAACAAACGTCCTTACAACGCATCACTCCCCGCCATATTTAAAGAGTAACCATTAAAAATCGACCCCTCTACTCCCACCTACCAGGAAAAAAAAAAACCTCAACTGTAATAAATATGGCCTCCCAACAGCAAACATAAAACACACACAATTAAAGAAAGGCACAAAAATACCACGATGGACCCTTCCTCAACTGCAATAATGGAAGTTTCGACGACAAAGTTCTCGTACCCAAACCCAATTTTATACACGAACCACGTAACTCACTAACTATGGTCACCATTAACTACCATGCACGCTTATTTAAAAACCACCCAAGTAACCCATCACGTATAGCCCCCAATTACATCCGGAACACGTAACCTCCATAATAAATGCATGGCTCCAGCAATGACCATCGTGCACACAGCCACGTAACCCAAGCCGGTACTGTTCACAAGCCGGTACTGTTCATAGCACAGTAATATGTGAGATAAGCTGCTGAGAAATCACAACCGGCTAATACAGCCACTGATTTTTATTTATTAGTTATGTTGATCTTTTAGTTATATTTTTTTATGGTACAACGTGGGATTATAGTATTCATGGTCATGTTGGAATGTTTCCTTTTTCGTTTAAAAAGAAAAGAAAAGAAAACCCATTTCCTTAAGCTGTAGCGCATTCGAAGCCCAAAATGAGGTAAAGCCATTGCAATCTCGGCCCGGGAAAAAAAAAAAAAAAGGCGAACGCTATTGTGCATTTGCTTCAGTGCGGATTTTTCTTTGGCTCGGAGAGACTGGAGCAGTCTGGCAGAGCATTTAGCAAGAAGAAAACTTTCTGCTGGTTCCTATGGTCACTTCCATCTCTCTCGTCGACGTGCAGAGCCGAAGGTTGATACAAATTCTGGGTTTCCTTAGCTTTACTTTCATTTCTGTCGAACAGTTTCAATCCTTAATCTTTCTTACTTGCCTACCTTTTATTAGCTCGTTGAGTGATTTCGGTCCATCAACTCGAAACTGCTGTTGGAAAGCTTTCGGATTTATGTGATTTGGTTCATGTCTTTGCGGAATTCTTTATCTCGCTTTCCGGTTTTTCCTTGTAACCTTCATTGATTAATTAATAATGAATTGATTGATTTTCTTTTTTTGCTGCAAGTAATTATGAATTTCGGATTAGTGTGCATGCTAGCAATTGGATATTTTTTACGACCAAGTAACATGATTGTCTTAAGTTCTTATTAGAAAGTTTATGCAAACACCTTAGGAATTGTATTTTTCCTTTTCTTTGTTTTCTTTTTTTCTTTTCGTTCTCATTTTCAGCCAAATTATGGATGTAAACCAGAAAGGAAAAACGGGTGGGGAAGCAGTCTCCCTCACTTTTAGGTTTATCCTGCTTTTAGCAAGACTTCTAGATTTGGAATGTTTAATTACCGATGAGGCTTCTGATAGGTGCCTTTTTTCCTCATTGTTATTCCGTAGTAACTAACAGTAAACTCACCAAAAATCTTCAGTAGCTTACTGATTGAAAGGTCTGACCTATATGTAAGCAAGAATGGGCCAAAAGTACCCATAGCCACAATTATGCTTATTGCTGATCAATATGTTAGCAATGGTTGTTGGAAGACCATAGTAAGTAGGTGACTCATTTGTTTCAGATTTCGCTGGGGGAGTTGAAGTGGACACTGGAGTTTTGCTGGCGTAAATGGCACTCAGAACTCCGAGTTTACTAACAATGGTCCGAGCTGAGGCCGCAAATTTTAATGGTCTACCTCCTCCTCGCTCTTCCAACTCAGTGCCTCATCTCTCATTCACGAAGCCATCTTGGGTTGTGAGGACAGAGTCAAATGTTCGGAAGAAAAGAAGAAAGAAGCCAGATCCTCCTTGTGTAGTCTGTGAGGGGAGTGGAAGGGTTGATTGTCACCAGTGTCATGGAAAAGGGAGGACAAACAATGTTGATTCAGAAATGCTCCCAAAAGGTGAATGGCCAAAATGGTGTAGGACTTGTGGTGGAAGTGGCCTTGATTACTGCTCCCGCTGCCTTGGGACTGGAGAATATAGATATATTATGGGCTTCCATTTCATGAAAAAGGACGAAATTCAATCCTAAGAAAACAAGTCTTAGGTTCAATATTTTTTCTTATTATTTTGCTATTGATTAGTTCTAGATTATAGAGAATGCTACAGTGCAGTAAATTATTATGAAACTCCACTAATGTATTGCCTCGAACTTCTTTTGTAGAGCCATGTGATCGTTTCGTGCTTGCTGGTTTTCAGTATCTGAATAAATAATATAATTAAGAAAAATGCTATATAAATGGACTAAATTTGTTGTTGCTAACAAGAAAAGCCCAAAGTCCATTAATCTATTGTGAGATGTACACTTGTTATGTTTTCCTAGCACTCAAATAAGATGGTGTAAGACTCTGTGATGTACATGCTTGGCCCAGGCATGCTACTGTTGTTAATGTCCATATCTTTCATCTAAATGACTAACATCCATGGAATAATGATGAATTTTCAACATCTAGGAAGATCTTAACAATTGACAACCCACCAAGATGGCTACTTATTTCCCTTTTTGTCTATGATTGCCACTCAAAGATCAAGTAAAGGACTTGACACTTTTAAAATTTTGATTTTTATGTTTCTTTTTGTTGTTTAAAACTATGGTTATTCCACTTGTGTCTCTCATTGGAGAGTGTGATGGAGATAATCTTTTAGGCTAGTTGATTGTAATGGAAGTGAAGGTTCCTGCATGCTAATGCTGAAGTAATGGGGACGAACAGTTTGTGACTGTGGCTTACTTTATGTATACTTTATATTACATGATTGTGAAGGCACTCGCCTGTGAGCATCTACTCTAGTCAGGTTTTCTTTAGAGTCATTGTACATAAACAGATTTGGACCATTCCTCTCTTACAGGTCACTGAAAAGATAATAGTTTTAATTTGATATTTTCTCTGTATAGTTTAAGATAGCTGCTATATTGTGATTCTTTAACACTATTAGATGTTCCTTACAAATATGGAAATCTTTGTTGCTTTTTAAGCAAGTGAATATATGGGCTTGGTTTAATCCTTCAGGCACTGGCGTTAATCTGAAATTTTTCAGTCCACCCCCGGAGTACTACCATTTAAAATGCAAACAAATGAAGAGAGTAATAGACCTTGCCTAGCTGACTCTTCTCTACAGTGGAGTCAGTGGCAGTTGCTTGATTCACTTCTCCCTACTGGTGGATTTGCTCATTCTTTTGGCCTTGAAGCAGCAGTTCAGTCCCACCTGGTGTCTAGTCCTGATGAACTTAAGACTTTTATTATCCATGTTTTGGAGAATACTGGAAGCTTACTCCTTCCCTATGTGTACTCAGCTGCCTTGTCACTGAATTTGGAAACCTGGCACAGGCTTGACAGAATGTTGGATGCTACCTTAACCAATGAAGTCAGTCGAAAGGCATCAATCTCGCAAGGATCTGCACTGATGAGGGTGGCTTCAGCCATGTTCTCCGAGACTCCCTCTCTTAAAACCATGAGGGATACTTCTCTTCGGTCAGGGTCTGTATGTTTTCACCATGCTCCAATATTTGGACTTATATGTGGAGCACTTGGATTTGACATTACTGTTTCTCAGAGAGCTTACTTGTTCATCACAATGAGAGATGTAATTTCTGCTGCAACAAGGCTGAATCTGGTGGGACCTCTTGGGGCAGCGATGTTGCAGCACCAGATTGCACCTATAGCTGAAAATATATTGGAAAAATGGTTGAATCGTGCGGCAGAGGAAGCATGTCAGACAGCTCCTCTGTTAGATGTTGTGCAGGGCTGCCATGTCTACTTGTTTTCTAGGCTGTTTTCCTCTTGAAAGGCACGAAGAGTTCAGCATACTTGACACTTCTGAGCACTCGGAAGTGTGAATGAAAATTGCAAAAGGGGCGCCCATCTAGTTTCCTTGGCCTTACTGTATTGATTACTATAATTGTTTTGAAATTTTGATCAATGGTCACTTTTCACCTATCTCCTGGCTTGTTAATACTCTTTATAACAGTATTACTCTTTGCATTCCCTGGTTATTTTTTGGGTCCATAGGCTATTTCACATTAGAGATTTCGTACCTGGCATTGGTCTTGGAAGCATGGATATAAGGAATAACAGGAAATGAACACGACGAATTATAGTGTAAATCAAAACTTCGTTTGGTACTTGTGGTTTTTTTTCCTCTTTGGGGCTACAGTTTGGTGCTTGTAGGTCATTGTGTCCTTTTTTTTTTTGGGGGGGGGGGGGGGTGGATATCGTGGTTCGTTTTATGACGTTGCAAAGCAGAGCGTCCCATCTTGTGCTCAAAGTCGAAGCCGATCCAACGATAATGACTGGGTTGGTCTATTGGGCCTGATGACCGGCCCAATTCAGATAAATTAGACATTTACTGAAGGCATCAATTTGTCCATAGAACATTTTCATGAAATTTGAATCTGATGAAAAGAGCTAATTTGTCGCAGCATGGTAAATTAAGATTTAAATTCTTGTTGAGAGATGTTTTCATATTTAGTGTCTTTATAAGCGGCAGTATCTCAAATAAGATTATCTCCAATTGAAAGATACCTATTCTGAGCCAAAAGAAAATATTTTCGTAAAAATAAGAAGGTTCAATCACAATGAAACATAAAACAAGAAAATAAATGAAAGAAAAAGGTAAAGGGGACTTAAGTCTATTGCACCATAACTTCTCTAGCTCTCAAAATTTCTTACAAAAAAAAATAAATGTTTCATTTTCAGGCATTTCATGATTTCATTCGGATGACTTTGCATTTTTAACCCGTCAAAGGATTTTAGCCCCATCAACCTGCTTTCTGCTGAGGAACCAATCCCCACATCTTCTATCGTGTCAATCAAAACATAAACAGTATTATTGTTCTAGTCTTAAACGTAAGAAATAGATAATTAATTTATAAAAATTAGTTTATCTAAGATATTAGCACTTTAATAATTTAAAGCATAAAAAATATATGCGATCAAAGGAGATGGTTGGAAAAATTATAAATTTGACAAATAAAATGAATTAGAATTTTATATCGAGAATAAAAAAAACTCTCATTTAACTCATAGTGAAAATCACAATTAAAGAGATGGAATTCCATATCAAAAGTACTCAAAAATTGAAGAATCCAATGATAGAAGATCCTTTGAGATCTTGAATTATAAATCTTTACACAATTTTAAATTTTGATTTTTCGTTTTTCAAAATTTAATGTTGAGATTCTTAATGCAATCATTGTCCTTATGAAATATTTTATTATAATTCTTCCTAGCATATATTTAAAATTCTAGATGTACACGTATTCACTATTTAATACTGAAGAACCAGTCATAAATAGTTGTACTGGAATTGGACCATAGTGTAATCTTAGTTTTGTGTCTTACAGGCTGTATCCAATGAAAATGATGTAATCAAAGTTAACTTAAAGTTTTATTAAAAACAATACCACAGAAATTCAATTTTATATATTTCTATACCCAAGCAATAAAAAAGTCTTCAACCTTGGTTGTTTACTTTATTAAATTCTCTTGAGAATTATAATATTAAAAAAAATCGATCCAACTACCCATACATATTATAATTTTATTTATCTCTTTCTTTTATGTTCAATTTCCTAGGATTATTTTTTTTTTTTGGGGGCACAAACGACATTTCAATGAATTGTTAGCCACGCCCAAATAATTATTTATCCTTGACATGAAATATTCTACGTAGACTTAAATTTGATTGCATGTTATTGTCACCACCAAACTTTTAAAAAAATGTTTTTCAGAAGAAACTGTGATGATAATGAGGATGAAATTCTTTTATTATTGTATTTGAAATTGGTGTCTTTACCATAGTTGATTGACTTAAACATCATATGTCAGTTGACCTTGACTTGCTCTTGTTTGGTTATAGGACGGCAAAGGAACTTCAGGGTAGTCCTTGATGATCCTGAATTTTCCCAGAAAAATCTTGCTTGGTTTCATCACAGGGAAGGAAACAATATGATCTCATGGTAGTTAGGTAGAATGGAAAAACAATAAACTCTTTCTAATCTAAAATGCAGGAGTTGGATAATTAATTTATAAAAATTCTGAAAAATTAATTAAATTAGTAGTTTATAAAAAATGTGCATTAATTTTTTTGAATTGTCGTTTTCAATCATTTGTATTAGACTACTCTCTTGATGAAAAACCTTTTTTTTTTTGGTGAAATGATGAATTTTTTTTTAATATGCACAATTAATGGGAAGATTTTAAAAAGAAATTATAAATCTGAGAAATAAAACAGTAGTAATGCCTTGGATGAAAAACTTCCTTGATATGTTATTTTTAATCATTGCACTGGAGAGATTACATGGTGATCAAATGTTTGTATTGAAAACTATTCTGATTTTAAGATAATTTAATAAATATGAGTTAAAATAAAAAGTATTTTTAAAAGCAAAAGTTGTTGTTGTATCACTAAATGTTACTCTTAATTAAATAACGGTATAAAAAGCTAATAGTTAATAGATATTATAAAAAGGCCTTGTTCCCTAAATGAAATTTAACTAGTTTGGTGATCTTGGACTTTGCGAGTTAAAAATTCTCTCAGTTATAAATAAGGATTAATAATTATTCTAAGCCAAAAATTACTTTTTTATACACTAAAAATTAAAAATTCATTTAAGACAAATGATTTGTTACTTACTTTTTTTTATTGGGCCAACTAAATGATTTCCTTTTGACCAAAAACAAAAAGAAAATGATTTCCGTGCATAAAATGAAAAGGGTTCATGCTGAACTTTGCAAAGCTATATAATTAAACATGTTTTTTTTTTTTTTGGTAATCATATGGTTTTAGATGTTTTAAATTTTAAGTCATTTGCAAATAAAAAGTAAATAAATCTAAAGTAAAATTTAATGAGATTTTATATAATTTATTTATTTATTTTTTTGCGACAAACTTTGGGACAATTCAAGAGGCAACTTCGCTGCAGCAGCGCAGCGACTGACGCTTATAAATTACCTTGGAAAGTGGAAATTCCAATTTACAAAGGACGCGCTTGCCGCTTCATCCATTTTCCGGATTTCTTTTAATAACTTTTTTAATTTACAGAATTGGGAAAAATTTTAAGAGTATATAATTCTAACGCGCAAAATTTTTTCCTTGGACAACTCTTTGCTGATTAGTGATTGGAACGACCAGGTCTCCTTCTGCACTCTTTACTTTCTCTCTCCCCTTCTTCATTCGGGGCTTGGGATTTCCCATTTCTATGCCTCGAATCCTATTCTGTGTTTAGATTTCTCGTCTTTCATTTTCCTCCCCAAATCCTTTGGTAAGTTTATCCGATTGATACTGAAAAATTCACGCTTTTGATGGGTTTTATTTTCCATTTTTCTGTTTTGCTGTTTCTCCCTCTATAGATTCCGTGTAAGTATGAAGTTCGTCTGGTCCTTAGAGTAAACGGGTTTCGGTTAATTTGTTTTTGGGTTTTACAATTCCCTAATTTGAGAGTTTTGTGCTATGGTGGTGATGATGTTTCGTTCTGGCTGGGCTTTTCTCTTAAAATTTTCAGTTAGGGTTATTTTATGCTTTTTTTCGATTAATTGTTGGACAAAATTGCTCTTGCTGCATTCTTGGTGATGACTGAGCATAGAAGTTATTTCTGTCATTGAAGGCTTGAAGCCCTTTGATCTCTTGGTTTGTAATTTTGTTTTTCAGACTTATATTCCCATTGAAGGAAAATATATTTTCATTGAGTTTTCTGAGAGAATATGTACGGAATATTTAATCTACCATAATCAGGGACTGGAGCTTCTCTTTATGGCGCTCATTGGGGGGGGGGGGGAGTAATTGTGATTTTTGTGGGAAGATATCAGATATGATATCGAGCATCTTATGTAACTGCTTCAGTAATAGTTGAAGAATGAGATGTATTTCACTTGTTCTCAATATGTTTATGGTGTCCAGCGATCAGAGGCATATTTTACCTGTTGCCTGTAGATCAGGTGTTGACAGTCACTGTTCAGTCGGTTGGAAATTAGGTGGTAGGAGATGTAGATGGCATATCATTCATTTTCCCATTCTTTGTTCTTCCGTTTGAGATTTAGTAGCTAGTTTGTTTATGTAGTAACTAGAGACGTTTTCTTGAAGTCTGAGGAATGAATCACACTATTTCTTGTTATGGATTTTACATTATTATGTTGTCATTTGCGTGCAATCGGTTTAGACACTTCCTTACATTTATCTTCTGAACTGTTTTATTTTGGGCCTTACAAGAGTTAATTCTTATGGAATCTACTATTTGAAAAATAAGTTTTTAAGGGTCAGAACGCTATTTTGTAAATATATGCGTATCAACTTTAGGAAATTGGTGTGATTGGAATAAGTCACTGGCAGAGCCAATCGGCATGTTGCTTCTTCTGTTCTTTTTTCTGTGATTGATGTTTATTGACAAAGCTTAATTTTGGATATATTGGGATTTCAGAAGCCAAATTTTGGATGAGTAACATTTAGGAGCAAATTTTAATTTTTAGAAGCTGGTGAAAGAGAAAAGATGTCAAGTGAAGCAACACATTGGTGTTATGAGTGCAGACGGCCAATCATACTTGAAGGGAGAGATTTCACATGCCCTCATTGTGATGGAGGCTTTGTGATAGAACTTCGTGAGGTGCAAAGAACAGAACATCTGGAAGATTTTCATCAAGTACCCGATATCTTTGGTGCTATTCATGCTGTTATGGGGAGGAGATTTCCAGAAACAAGTTTTCTAGATTCAGTTGATAACATCATGAGGCACAGAATGGCTGGACGAAACCCAAACTTCGATGTGAGAAGGCGATCTATAGCTGCCATGGGTCCTGATCAGAGCTGGGGTGTTATTAGTTCTGGTCCTTACTTGATATTTCATGGCCAGGTTCCTGGATTCACTTTGACTAATGGCATCCCTAGAGGCGGTCCTAGGCGTGTTGATGTTAGTGACTACTTTATGGGGCCTGGGCTGGAAGAACTTATTGAACAACTCACTATGAATGATCGGCACGGTCCACCCCCAGCCTCGCGTTCTTCAATTGATGCAATGCCTACAATAACAATCACACAGGCTCATCTTCGTTCTGACTCTCACTGTCCGGTTTGTCAAGACAAATTTGAACTTGGTTCTGAGGCAAGGGCGATGCCATGTAGCCATGTTTATCATTCTGACTGTATTGTCCCTTGGTTGGTTCAACATAACTCATGCCCTGTTTGCCGTGTTGAGTTACCACCACATGGACAAGTTAGTCCTCATGCTAGTCGTAATGTGGGAGGAAGTAATGCAGAAAGCACCAACAATGATAACCTTAGGGAGAGAGAGCATAGCCAACAGAACCAAGGAAGGCGGAGTCCGTTTTCATTTTTGTGGCCATTCCGTTCTTCTAGCTCAAGCAGTAATCAATATGCTGAGACTAGAGGAAGCAACTCTTCAAATAGTCGTGACCAGAATAATGGAACGAACCATGGCCGATGGCACTTTGATGAGTAAATCTTCTTTTCCTCTCCTTTGTTGGTATTAGTTACTTCCTAATAATGCTTTTGTAAATTAAATGAGATGGGGAAAAGAAATCTTGGAAGATTGTAATTCAAAATTTCAAATATATGCAAGGGAGGTGGTGGTGGATGGAAGCCCGTGAACATCACATTGTACATGTATTGATGCTCGGTGAGTTGAATGAATCTGCAGCTTTCACCTGCTATTATGCAATTTGGTTGTTGTAATGATTGCCTATATTGGCCATTTGAGTGTGGGATTGCTGGTCCATTTCAAATTAACCATGATGCTGGGCTGAGTAAAGCACTGGAAATTTACTTTGCAGGAATTTGAGGCCTTTCTTAATTGCTTTTAAGGACACAAATAATTTGCTGAGATGATTGGTTTATCATTCTGATTGGTGTTTCAGAAATTTGATGCAGTTGCATTGTGCTTGAGAAATTCTGTCAGTGTGCTTAGGTATGTGTTTGGCATGAAGGAAATTTTTGGGAATGAGGTGGCCAAAACTTTCCTGTAGGAAATCTTCCTGATCTCTCCGTTGATCTTGAGAATATTAATAGATATATAGAAGTAGCAAGAAAATAATTTTATAAATGAACGATGACTTTCATATCACGCTTTTTTTTCAAAAAAGATTATCAGGATAAATGTTATTTATTCTCTTTTGGATCAAGGTTATTGGAAACGAAAATGCAAAACTGTTGGAAAAAAACGTACGGCAGACGTGTGGCAATATGTTTTTGGTCAAGAAAGGTAAGAAGAGTGGTAAAAACTAGAAAGCCAAGTGGTGAGTAGAAGAAATATTTTTAATGACATGAAGAGACTAAAGGGGTGTTTGGGCATCATAAGAAGTGCTTCTCGGAAGTATTTATTTACAAATTGAAATAAATTCATTCATATATTTATTTTGTATACTGTAAAAGCACTTTTAAAATTATGGTTTTGATTTTATCCAAACACCGTCTAAGTATTGAAAGAGAAAAATAGATTTTGTTTTCTATTATTTAATAATTTATATTTTTTTGTTTCAAATGTTACAGCTAAATTCAAATAGGAGTTTTATACCATCAATATCCATGATCTTTTTGAGTGAATATCAGTATCAATTATGAATAATTAATGATTATAAGAAAAAGGATGAAATGAGGGGTAAAATAGTTGATGGGGATTGGGTAGCATGGGGTGATGCATAATTTTGGGCTTTAGGGCCTTCGTCACATGAAAAATAGCAACAAAAAAGAAGAAGGATCAAATTGCAACTTTCAAGCTTCTTGCATGGCGACACAGCCCAAATTCTTGTGGTCCGAGAAACTGATAAAACCAACATTCTTGTCTTTGTATTACAAAAATCCAGGCTCAACTAATTTAGAGCATTTCTATAAAGATTCACATTTTTTCTGTTAAAAAAAAAAAACTCTGGTCTCTTTCTACAAGACCTAATTTTGAGGGGTATACAGTTGCTCTTTTTAAAACCCTTTTTGAAATTCTAGAATGATTTTTGTGTTTTTCTTTTGTTGCCAACCCCAACTAAATGATTACGGGTTGGATAGGCAACAAGGAAAAAGACAAAAACAAGACAGACCAACTTATTGGCATCCATGAATTTCAAAACGGCTTTACACAAAGGGACAGAGGGATCGGTACAAAACCTTAGCTGACATGTTTAAGAGTTTTTCAACCAGCAAATTAAACGCAATAATAATGGAAGAAACATGACGATCTATGTGTTAAATTGGAATCTTTTGGGTTTGGTAAGGACTGGTTAGCATCTCTTGGTGACAAGAAGAAACAACTACTTCAATTGGAATCTGAAGTGAGAACTGGGCAAGTAGTACAAAGGATGATATATCCAAAATAAAACTTGACGTGATTGGCTTTGGTATTAATTCATGCAACACCTGAGGCTACCATTCTTATTCCAACTTCCATTTTTCATGTTGCGGCGGTGTTACACTCCACGGCTTGAGAAACTCCAAATAATATTCAGAGTTTCAGATATCAACTAATTATGCACTACCTCTAATGAGGTCTTATAATTAGAACTACAAAACCACAAATGAGGCCTTTCTTAATTGCTTTTAAAGATACTAATAATTCACTGAGACGGTTGGTTTATCATTATGATTAGTGTCTCAGAAATTTGATGCTATTGCTGTGCGCTTGAGAAATTGTCACACACTGTGCTTAGGCGTGTGTTTGGCATGAAGGAGGATTTTTGGGCGTGAGGTGGCCAAAATATTCCTGCAGGAAATCTTCCTGATCTCTCAGTTGATCTTGAGAATATGAACGGATATAGAAATATCAAGAAAATAATTTTATAAATAAACAATGACTTTCATAGCATAATTTTTTCGGGAAAAAAAAATGAAATGAGGTAAAATTATCAGGATAATATAATTTATTCTCTTTTGGATCAAGGTTACTGGAAATTTATTAGTAGGTGATTTGTGATTTGTATGTGTTCTTTAAGCCTGACAACATGTCTTGGGTCTGGTGAATTTTTATGACCCAATTCACCCAAACTTCTTCTATGTAATGGAAAAAAAGAAAGAAGAAATCTAGACTCAGTTTAGTGCATCTTTATACCCATTGGGAAAATCAGATACACGGAAGGGTCTGATATATTTTTATACATTAAAAACAGCTAAACATTGAACCTGAAGCCTTCACTGAAGACCCATGGCTCTTTGTAACGGGCAGGCCAACTAATTGCCTCCTTCGGGAGAAGGAAGTGACGCCAGAGCCATGGCTACGAGCTAGCATTTCCAAGGCCGGCACGCTATCGTAAAGTACTCCTCCGGTCCTTAATATAGGACCCAATTGGTGAGTTGGTTTTGGTCCTAAATATAAGACCCATTTCTCATATTTATCAATTATCTCTAAATTACCCCTATGGATACCCTTTCAACCATAATCAAGTAGAAGAGAAAGATGAGGTATTAAGAAATATGATTATGGTATTTTAGGAAAAACGTGTCATATCTCTTATAATTAACTAACTTACCTAACTTCCTTAATCTAATCAAATTAGCTAAATGGGTCTTATATTAAGGACCGGAGGAGTAATAAATTTTGCAACAAATGTTCTTAACATGCAAAAACACAGATTTATATATTATAGAAAAACTCTTATTTAACAGAAAAATGTATTTTTTCCCCCAAAGAAATGACGTAAAAAAACACACATTTATAATGAAGTTTACAGAATTATTTATGATTATTTATAACTAGGTGTGTGTGTATATATTTGGGAAAATCCCCAAAAAAAGACCGTTGAATTTTAAAATTCCAAATCAGGAATTATTACAAAAATATATTGTCATTTGTTTTTCGAGTGTAGTCATTTTTTTTACAAGTGTTATAACTAGTATTGATTTGAAATTTTAAAATTCAACGGTCATTTTTTTAAGAATTTTTTGTATATATTTTCCTGTGTATTTTACTCGGAGACTAAAATAAGGTTCATTGTTATGTATTTATAAATAGTACTGCAAATTTTATATTTTTTAATTGATAATCATATATTGCTTATTTATATTTTTAATTTTTCTATCTATCTTTCCTGATTGTCAAACCAATTTGTTTCATTTCCAACCCTAGCTTGACGTTTTATCCAAATATGCAATACGTACACACACACACACATATATCCATGCGTACAGATTAGGGCTGATGATGCTTGTTCTTTTGAAAAGGGTCTGGATAACTCCTCGATTGTGCAAATAGTGTCAAGCAAGCACCTCAAATTGACTTGTAATGGCCAGCGCCTTGAGCTATATCTATCATCTATATATCTATATATATATATATATATATATATTTGGATATATCCTGGAAATATAATTTTTCTGTATCATTCAAGTCAATCTGTAAGCTGTGAGTTAGGGTTTAGGGTACAGGTCGAGAAAACCCACTTGTAGGCCGGTTAACTTTTAACCAACCCTAACACGTCTTGGCGGATTGTTGAGTTGGCATGTTAACCTATCAATAATTATTTTTTTAAATAAAATATTTTTTGATTTTTTTTATATAATATTAAAAAAATTGAAAATTTGCTTTTCTTTGAAATACTTGATTAAAACTGCCAAATAAATGATATAGACTCTTTTTTTTAATTTTTTATATGGGATATAACATAATAACATAATTATGATAATTAATAAAATAAAAAAATTAAAAAAAACGTAGGTTAGCTCATACAATTGGAGACTTTTGGTGGTGCGAGATAAAAATGTTTGTTCATTAGGTAGTTGAGTTTTAACTAATCTTAACTCGCAATTTTTAACGGAGTGGCAGGACCACATTGCGAGTTCTAACTTTTGCTACGGACAAACGCGCCATGTCGTACATGTATCATCAAACTGAAGCACATCCCACGCGTCCTACAAACTCGCAACCGTCAGAAACTTACTTGCCATTAGGCATTATTTAGGTTACAAGGACATTGGTGGCAGTCTTGTATCTCTAATGTGTTGGTTTATTCCCATTCAAGCCTGACTACCAATGACCTTGTAATGGCCTGAAAGCTTTTTTTTTTTTTTTTTTAAATAAGTACAGCAATCTTTTTTATTAGAGGTAATTATTTTCAAGACACTATTCAGTATTAAATATGAGTACATCTCTCGACAAAAATTCAAACTTTAATTTATCATTTTGTGGGGATTAACCCCTTTCAATAGACCTAATTCACATCAATAATGGTATGAAAAATTCATTGTAAGTGAAAGATTATAAGTTCAATCCCACACTCCATGTAACCTCAGATTGTTAAGGCTTGGCTCTCTAATTAAAAAAAAAAAATCAGACCTTGTGCGCGTACTAGTTTTTGTCCTAATTTTACATTGACCCCCGTCATCTCTTCTGTCTTCTCCTATAAATCGTTTGAGGTAGTTGCTGACTTGGTAAGCTCCAATGTGCACAGTCAAACCGCCATGGATTCATTTATAAAGATCTACTGGTACTGTTCAAAGTCAATCCCTTGCAGTATTATGAACGAAAAGAAATAAACTAAAAGCACATCCAGCCTCCTTACTGAAATACCATAGAAATTCCCAAAGTTTCAATGGACGCAGAAATTTCCAACGATTGATGCGACTCACAACTGCCCTTTTGTTTTGGGAGAATTAGAACAGAAGATCTGTAGAAAAACATATTCAGTAAAAAGGATCACAAAAAGTAGAATTATTTTAAAGGACCAAATGTTAAAAATATAGATTTTAAATACCAAATTACCCTTGTCCCTTTCCTTATTTCTCTCAGCAATTCTTTTGCTCTTGTTTTCATTCGATGGCTTATGCACTCGAAGAAAATTAATAGGACATTCA